GCATTGCCGAGCTCGATAATGCGCCCGCCCCCCGTCCTCTCACTCCGTTGATCGCCATCGCTGCACACCTACCCTCTCGCACATGGCCCGCGCCTTCTGCAGCTCGGCACTGAGGTCGCTCACGACGCCCTCGTTCCTGGGATTCTCGGTCTCGCCCACAGCTGCGCAGCGCCCTGCCATGTAATCCCGCTGCCCCGGGGCCTCCTGGAGATCTCGAGCGACGCCGCGGCCTGTCCTGCTTCTCCTCGGGCACGCGGTTCAACGCCGCCGTTGCACGATCTGTTCTCAGCGCCCCCCCCCCCCCCCCCCCCCTGATCGCCTCAATGTAGAAGTTCGCGTTGTGCCCTCCATGTTTCTTGGCACGGCGGTCGATATTTCGCTTGGAGCGCAGCTCCTCCTCGCGCACTCGCCCGTTGCAGCTTGGATATGTGTCACTGCTTGAATTTCGGTCGCTGACAGTCTATAGTAGCTGCTGTCCTCGCTCTGTCAAAGCGTCGATATCGTTGCGGCGTTTGGCGCCAGCGCCACTGCTGACCGCGTCGCTCTCGCACCTGCTGCAAGCAAGTCCCTCTCACGCTTGTAAGTCCTCGCCTCCTCGCCCTCGTAGTCGGCCTTGTCTTTCTCCTCCTGCTGCAGCATATCGCTGAGGACCTCGCATCGGACAGGCGCTCGGTCGCAGGCAGAACCGGGGAATGGTGCCCCCGCGCGGCTACTGCGCCGTCGCCCTGGGTTGGCAGCGGTGTTTCTCCACGTCCTGGCGCGCGGCCTCGAGCCCTCGCACTCGTCGTCGGCCTCGCTTGAGAATGTAGCTGTTCTGGATCATGGCCTGAGATAGAGCGACCATGGTGGCCGGGTCCCCTATAATGAGCGGCGCGTAGTTTTTTCCGAAGGCGACGAGGACGTAGGATCGCATCATCTGTAGCTTGTTGGCCCTCCACGCGGCACAAACGCGAAGTGCTCGCGGCGGCCCCTCCCAATCCTCAATTTTGCTAGCACCCCTCTTTCTCATAGGGATGACGTCCGTGATGCTGGTGTCAATGACGGTTCGGCGCCCTGTGGAAGCATTATCGTCGTGGTCCCAGCGGTCCTCCTCCTTCTCTAAATTGGTGATAATGTTTTTTCCTTCGGGCGTTGTCCCAGTCGCCATGTCAGCCCCAGCAAAAGGTTGTCCTCGTTCCATCTTGCAAATCCTGCGCCAACGGCTGGTCTCGATCGCGCCGGTAGCGTGAGTGATGGCTGCAATCGTCGTTGCCACTCGGGTGCTGGCTTAAGTGCTGCATTCGGCGCCTTGGTGGCTGCCTGAAGTCGAGATGATTATTCTGCGACGCGGTGGTGCGCGAAGAGCTGCTGAGCCTTGAGGACTCGAAACAGCTTGCGAAAAGTCTGCTCTCTCGCGCCGGAGCCGCTTGTGTCAGGCGGGGCCCCTGGGTCTGGCTGTCGTGGATGTCTGCGTGGGCCCGAACGGGGCTGCGAAAACAACAGTTCAAGTCATGAAAACTGTGGTAGATATGGTGCGCGCGCGGGCGCCTGCGGGGCAGGGCAGGGCACCTCGGTGTCCACCGCCGCGATGATCCTGAGGACCTGTCCCTCCTGGAATCTCTCAGGCGCACTGGTTTCCTCTCCCTCCTTTTCCTTCCCCTCTTCACTTCCCTCCTTCGCAGCATGGAACCCTGGAGGTATGGACCCACTCCCCGGGACTGGTTTTTCATCCTTAATTGTTCTTTGGCGGTCGCGGGGCCCAGTACGGGGCCCCAGGCCCCCCAAGAGGTCGAAAATGAGCCAAAGACCGTCCGTCGTAATGAAAAGAAGATGGGGGATTGTTAGTGGGTGCGGTATAAAACAAACTGTTCTGCCGTCGGGGGCGCCTGCCCCCAACAGCAGCTGGAAAATGTATACCTCTACATGGCGCGGGAGGGATTATGAACGCTGCAGCCGCCCAAAGGACAGGCGTCCCTGACGGCGAACAAGTCCCACCAGCCCTCTGGGCGTACGTGGTCTAGAACAGATCCTCTTCCACCCCTCCCTCTTCCCCCTTGGGGAGGGGTTTACCCCTCCCCCTACCCCCTACCCTGGACCTGGACGGAAGGTTCCCCGAGCGGTCGGACGGCTCTTTTGGCCCCAAGATGGCTTCATGAGCGCGTCAGAGAGCCCAAAATGAGTTCCAAGATGGCTCAAGATAGCGCAAGATCGCTCGAGATGGCCCCTAAGATGGTTCCAAGAGGCCCAAAGACGGCCCCAAGACGGCTCCAAGTGGCCAAAGAGCTCCCCAAGGAGGCCCCGAAGAGGCCAAAACCGTCCCAAAACCTTAGGAAAATCAGGTGTCTTGTTTTCTCCCCGTTTCGCTTCCGATGGCCATCCAAGGCCTCAAGATGGCTCCAAGATGCCCCAAGAGGGCCCCACAAGAGGCCCAAGAGAGCCCCAATACGGCCCCAAGAGCGCCCAAGATCGCTCCAAGAGCGCCCCAAGAGCGCCCCAAGAGGCGATGTTTGGAGCTCCTGAGGGGGGGAGGCTAATTAGGGAACCCCCCTTCGTTGATCGATCTCCTCCAAGATGGCCCCAAGAGCGCCCCTACAGCCCCCAAGAGCGCCCCAAGAGCGCCCCAAGAGGCGCCCATACGGGCCCAAGAGGCTTCCAAGAGGCCTCCAAGAGGCTCCCAAGAGACCCCCAAGAAGCCTCAAGATGATCTCCGACATGCATTTAAGACGCTTCTGGTTCTTCGGTTCGCCGTCCTCTTCAATTTATCATCCCCCTCTTCCTCCTCCTCCTCCTTCTCCTCCTTTTTCCTCCTTTTCCTCCCTCTGCTCCTTCTCCTCCTTCTCGTCCCCCTCGTCCTCTCCCTACTCCACATCCTCCTCCTCATTATCCTCCTCCTCCTCCTCTCCCCCCCCTCCCCCTCCGACGAGGATTCCTTCTCCATCCTCCCCCCCTTGGGGTACGTGACAGCTTCCCCCGCCTTTTGTTATTCTGCATGCTCCCCGACTTCCCTGATCACCTCAACTCCCCTGGGCATCGTTTCTGGATGGGCTGGTGGGGATTTTTCTACAGCCGCAGGCGGAAGCGCCAGCGGCGGAAGGTCGCGAACGGGCCGCGGACGCGACTAAATTACCTAATGCGCGCAGGGCCGCGGATCAGGCGGCTCACGACAGCGTCCAGGGGAGACGATGCAGTCCAGGTGCCATGACAGCCCCTGAACGGGCATGCAGGTGCGTCCAACAGGCCTGAGGTAGGCACCGAGACCACCAATCGCAGCCAAAATGGCGCGAAAACGCTCCAACGTCCAAGAGCGAACAAGGGAACGGCCGAAGACGCCAGCCCCAGCCTGTCGGGTAACACAGAGGTCGGGGTGGTAAGTCCAACGAGGATCCCGACGGCGGCAGCGAGCCACGGCGTCAGCGACATCAAGGTGTATCCATGTTCCGAAAAGACAACCACACCGAGACGTATCGGCCCCGACCCAACGGGTGGAAGGGCACCGAATGCACGCTCCCGTCGAAACGCGGCGTGTGCACGGCACAGTGTCACAGTGCAGTCCAATGAGGCGGAGTGCACAGGCGGAACGACACTGTGTATACCCAGGCAAATCCCACAAAGCAACTGATCCAAGGTCGCGGTAGGAAGCCGTCCAGCAATTACGTCCAGAGGGCACCGATCCATGGAGCTGGTGGAGAAATTGATTTTCTTTGTATATATATATATGGATAAACAACTTTATTTATATATACACTGTCACGAGGAACCCCTTTGAACTATATATATATATATATATATACAACAACTAATATATATATATATATATATATATATATATATATATATATACATATAC